CCACTTAACAATTATGCTACATTTCATGTTAGAATATCTCATTAAAACACATTCAAATTTGTGTTTGTGATGTCAAAAAAATAAATAAATAAATAAAGCCATCAAAATGTTAAAAATGTATGAACAAATTAGATTTTTCAGTTTTAGGATTTAGGACAATATAATGCACACAAATACCATCTGTAACACTTTAATAAGAAATTAGAAATATGTTAGAATTGTTTTTAAGAAAAAAGCAACAACAACAACAAAAAAAAAAAACAGTAACAGATGTATCAATATCTCTGGATATCGATGCATGCAGAGTTCATCTAACTGCAACTCCGGGCTGATCCGGTACCGACCTGTCGATGGCGATCGCTCCGAGGGTCAGCATGCTGGCCGAGCTGATGAGCAGGTAGAGCAGCGCGGTGAAGTTGCACCACACCACCCCGAAGACCCACTCTCGCTTCGCCGAGCTCACGGCCACAAACGGCAGCACCAGCACGGACAGCAGCAGGTTGGACAGGGTCAGGCTGAACACGAACTTGTTGCTGGGCGTGAGCAGGTACGGTCGGCGGTACAGGGTGGCCACGATCAGCAGGTTCCCCAGGCAGGCCAGGAGCGTGATGGTCACGATGGACACCGACTCCAGGACCGCCAGACCATCGCCGTTCCCCACTGAGGTGCAGTTCCTACTGGCGTTCATGGTGAGAGACTGGACCACCGGACAGGCGAGGCAACTGTGGGAGTCTGAAGAGAAAGAACTCAGAATTACACAAATATTGAGTAGGAAAACATACCAGAAAAGTATTATTTGAGAATATTTCTGCTTGAAACAGAAGACAAAGAGTTGAAAGCAAAGCCTTCTGAACCGTACTGACATGACTGACCCTGCATAGAGAATCTATAAAAACTAATAAAGTTTCCTAAGTCCAGATGACTTCTATTTAAGCACTTATGATTTGGTATGTGTTGTCAAGTGGTTGACACATGACAACACATATTTTAACAGTGCGTATGAACTGGTAAAATCCACCAATATAAACATTAGATTGGTTGAAGTTAGCAAAGTTTTATTTTACTTTTTAGGGTTCTAGAGAAACATGGACGTCTAAACTGAAAGGGCAAAAGCAAAAATGCTGTTAGATTAAGGTTGATAGTATTGGTAAATATTGCAATGATCAGCTTCGACACATACGCATGTCTTTCTTTCCTCTCTTTCTCGACCATGGTTCCTGCATGCTGCGCTATTCTGCATTTTGGGCAACGTAGTTTGTGTCCGGTGTGAGCATCTGCTGCCCTTAGACTCTGTCCAACTGGCTAAATAATACATCAGCATGTGAAATGCAACTTCATACCACTTGGAATATATTAGCCAACAATTGCTGCACTCCAACTTGTCCTTTTGTGACATGAATATTGCACACACTGATAGTGCGTCGATGATATAATCATTATAAACCGTGCTGCCTTGTAAATTTGTACTTGCAAAACTCAAAATAGGCAACAAGTTTGAAGGTAGTGAGTCACTCACAGCATGTGGTTCATGTAAGCAATACAATCTGAGGAGATGTTTCACACTGTGGTATATTTGAGCAAAACACCAAAGAACATTAAAAACACTCAAAGGTATAAATTTGTGTATTTAGAAAATTTTACAGCAGTTATTTAAGTTTCAAGATGGGTGGATGGTGGGATGAAAAATAAATGTTTAGATAAAGGATTGCATGGATGACTAGACATGAATTGATGGAAGGATGGAAAATAAATGGGTGGATAGCTAAACAAATGGACGGATGCTGCTTTTAGACAATGGTGCAAATAATAACTAACTAAAGCATCTAAATATTTCCATGCATATCCAGACCGAGAAAATGATTTAATCAAATCCTTAACTTTTCCAGATTGCACAAGAACCATGTAAATTAACGTCTAATTTATTCATTTTTTTTTTACTACAAATACTACTTCAAAGATGAGAAGATGATCTCATTTTAAAATTAAAACCCATTTATAAGCCCCCAAAGAAAGAGCTACAACTGTAGTTATAATTATTAAACAATGCATTACAAATAAGTTTAGGGAATCTTAAAGAATACTTTTACACTTGACCGTGTTTCTTTACAGACCATGTTCTTTAAGATTTTGGTTAATTTATAACGAAACACCATGAAAGCATCAAACTAGATTTTGTCCAGCTTACCCACTGAAGATGGTGGATTGATTTTGCTTTTCTCTTAAAAGATACACAAAACTTTAGATGTGTTTTATTGTGTCTTTCACTTGATAATCACAGATTGTTAAACTGTTACAACGCAACATGTAACTCGAGCGAAAATTGAGGCTTTAAATGTGAATATGTTGACACAATTTTACACCAGAGACCGATCTTAATTTCTGTGTATGTATACAAATACAACTTTTCGTAATAGTAGTAGTAAAAGTGAACCCCAAAGCCCAGCGTTTGTGATTTTTTATTTGTATTTTTTTTTTAGCTTTCTGAGCTGATGATAACGTCCACCTCCTGACTCCGTAGCGGTACAGCTACCGTTAGTTAGCTAAGTTTGGCTAAAACTTTCCCCATTGTCCCCCCCTGAACTCGGCTCTTTTACCTGCTTTTGTTCGGCGCTGGGTCTCCACATTTCGACTATCAGCGAAGACGAAACGTCCATCTTGTTTTTGTATTTCCTCGAGACCCGACAAAAGCGGGACAAGCCAGAGGGAAAAAAGCAAAGCCAGTGAATGTGGAAAGCGTTTGGGATGGTATGAGATTAATCTCGGGCGGCCAGCTGTGGCTGCAATGGCGTCCTCCTCCTCTCCACTCCGCCGCCTCCCACCCAAAGCTCCAGCTCCCTCTCCGAGCTGCCACCCTCTCTCTGTGTGGGTGGTCGTCGAGGAAATATGCTCTGTTTTCGCTTCGCCATTAAAGCAGTGCTGTTATAATCCCGTGGTTAACGAATTTGTTTAATTAAATTACGTCTTATCATTGTTATGCTATGTGTATTGAACAAATAAAAAGTGCATTTGATTCTTTTTTTTTCTCAGAAGAACCACAGGCAGTGTGTTTCTGTTGCTTTGTTTATAAAATAATGTTTATGAATGGGTACATGTTGACGGAGGTATCTGTTTATGAATGAACTGTTATGCATCGCTTGATCCGTCTGGACCACACACGGAGATCATAGCTTCCCGCTAAAAGTGTGCCGCTCGCAATTGAGCCGGCTGTAATTGCTAGCTCATTACATAAACGAGGGCTGTCATTTATCAGAATCAGTTTATGTGCATAACCAACAAATTTGATTTTGTTTTCACATGCTCACAGCACACAGTCTGTATGAAAAATAGTGCAAAATATTCTATATCTGTATGATACAGATATAAGATAGAGAAAAAAACTGAAGTTGGAGAAGAGGAGAGACAGATTCACTATTGTAATGGCGGTTTCTATAGGTGGGAGACAGTTTGTGTTATTTTAACCATGTGTTTCTTTAGTGCAGGCAAATTTAAATTGACAGTAAGGTACAGTACAGTAAAGCCTTGTCCACATGGAAACAAGTCCTCCAAAACTGTGTTTGTATTTTTACCTTTTATAAAACATTCTGTAAATAAACACAAATTTAACAACATTTCACTGTAAACTTCTACAACTTACACTTTATTTCAGTGTTTATCTAAAATCATGAATGTCTGGTTAATTTGGTTTTAGATTGCCATTAGATATTAATATGTGCATGTATAGTAATCTGTCTTGGGTGTCTCTCTGTTTGCCCCCAAGCTGTGCAGTCTTATAAAGGAAAATTATTTTATACCCAAACTTTGCATAGTTATATGAAACCAAAGTGTTATGTACAGAGACAAGCTATATTATTAGGATCCAGGAAAAGGGCCGTAATTCCCATCTCAAGCAAAACGCGTCATCTACCGTCTTCCAATCAGACACCGGGACGCGTTACTAACTTTGACCACTTGGTGTCGCTTTTTCACAGAGTCAGACCCACGTCTGAGCTGAACTCAAGTTAATCTAACAAAGTTATCTCTCAAAAACGCTTTTGGATAAAGTTGTGACCTTACTACAACATGAATCAATCGCAACGCACACAATCCTTTTATTCATTGCTGGCACCTTCCATCAAGTTCAGATGAATGTAAGTAAATTTCAATAACTCAGAAACTGTTTCCTTGTTGGTAAGTATAACAATTACAAAAGTAAACACAAATTCTGCTAACACATGTTGTTTCATCAGTAGGTCCAAAATAAATTCCACGTTAAATTTAAAACTTTGGCATAAAGATCTGTGGAGTGTAGTCGGTCAAAAGAGAAACCATCAAACCCTGGAAAAGATAAAACGGCTGATATTAGTAACCAGAAAGAATGACGAGGAGTAAATATGAAGTATCTACCTGCTATCTTACCATGATGGTCCATTTTCTATTCTCAGCCTCAGGAAAGACGAGGGAGCGGGATGAGTAAAACACTTGGTCATCCACCTCCTCCATCTTCCGGGGAAGGCAGTGCAGGAAGGTCCAATTTGGTTTGGCCACATTTCCGGTCTGTGTTTATCCAGTCCGTCCCCACCACAAAAAAAAATTAAAATAAATATTTGCTAAAGTTGCTGGAGTGACACAACTAATTAATAGGCTTTGGGTTTTTGTGTCCAGAAATGGTTTCAGACTTGCTGAAGTTTGGGATTCTCACATTTTCTCACACTACAACCAAATATGTCAACTCACTTTAGTGGGATTCAATGTGACATACCTTGGCAAATTGTCACAAAATTGGAAAGAGAAAAGGACAAAATACAAAGTATGCTGTGCATTCAGAAACTCAGACAGGTCATCGAGAAAATTATTGAGGCTTCAAACTAACTTTTGAAAATTAACACTGCACCCTGAACACCTTGGTTCTACAGTGAAGCATGGTGGTGGTAGTATCATGCTGTGTGGGTGGTTTTCTTCTGGAGGAAGCTGAATAGACCTAAATACAGTCCTGGACAGGAACCTGTTACAGGCTGTGGAAAGACTTGAAAATTGATATTCAAAAACGCTCTCCATTAGTCTGAGCTTTGAGATATTTTGCAAAGAAATATTGCAGGTCATGTAAAATCCCAATAAAATACATCAACATTTGGTGGCAGTAACATGAGAAAATATAGGAAAAGCCTCAAGGGATATGAATGAGAAGGCTCTACAGAGTAATTTAGCTGATATTTGTAGAAAACAAGCCTCTTCTTGCTTGCCTGCATTGTAATCTGGTAGCCATGGAAATCTTTTAGCCTCCTTTTCTTCTCCTCTTCCTGGCCCATGCTGACCCAGGTGTCGGTGACCAACACATTGCTGCCATGGGCAGCCTCCATCGGATCCGAGGTCAGAACAAGTTGGGTCCCATGCTGCGATTAGAAAAAACTGGCGGTGAATATTGTTAACCGATAAATGACTGTAAGTAGTCTAGGTCCTCACTTGTTTGGACAGCCTCTGCGCCTCTTCAGTTACTCCCTTGTCTGGTTCGTAACCCTGTGGAGGACGGGGTATTCAGTGAGACAGGAAAACCCATCAGAACCCATGATGGTCTGAGAAGAAGAGGCGGACCTTTGGTGTGGCAACCTTTAGATGAACCCCCAGTTTGGCAGCAGTCATCATGAAGGAGTGGAGGACATTGTTTCCATCTCCAATCCAGCTCACTGTAAGTCCACTAAGAGACCCATAATGCTCCTAGAAGACAACAGCGGAAATTAAGAAAGTTTATCATGTATAAAAGTTGCAGAATGCTGGGGGGAAATGGCACCTGTAAGGTGAGGAAGTCTGCCAGAATCTGGATGGGGTGATAAAGTTCAGAGAGTCCATTAATGATGGGGATGGAAGCCTCTCGATCCAGCTCCTCCAGCGTGGAGTGACTGTAAACCCGCGCCAAAACGATATCGCAAAGTCCAGAGAGAACCCTGTGCAGAAAGATAGGAGACACCGCTTTCAGGAAAAACAGCAGCACCACAAGTTTACATAATATAGATGTGTGTGTGTGTGTGTGTGTGTGTGTGTGTGTGTGTGTGTGTGTGTGTGTGTGTGTGTGTGTGTGCGTTACCTTGCCGTATCGGTGCAGCTTTCATTTACTCCTAAGTGGATGTCCTGTGAGGTTAGGAAGCAGGGGTGTCCACCCAACAAAGCAAAACCTGAAATATGAATAAACTTTTCTATTCAGAATCGCCTCAGACACTGGGAAATTATTTCATAAAAATAACACTCTGAACATACATACTACACATTAAATGGAAAATAGATCTCACAAGAATATTTATAACCCCTAAGCTTTTTCATATTTTATCACATTACACCCACAAATGTCAATAAGTTTTACTGTGATTTTTTTTTGTGTGTGTGTGTGTGTGTGTGTGATAGACCAACAGAAGAAAATGAAGCACAGTTTTCAAATTTGAATCTGGATATAAGAACAACTGCAAGTCTTCTAGTGTTTCCACCACAAATAAATGTCTCATGTTCTGTCTTATTGGGCGGAGAGCATCTATGAACATCAGTTTTCAAGCCTTACCACAAATGTTCAGTTGGAACAAGCTGCGGGCTTTGACTGGGCCGTTCTAACACATGAATATGCTTTGATCTAAACGGTTCATTTGTAGTTCTGACTGTGTGTTTAGTGTTGTGTCCTGATGGAAGGAGAGTCTGTATCTTTTACCAGGTTGATGCACAGTTGCGTTTGTTTTCCTCCACACAAAGTCTTTTTGTATGTAGGAAGTCTTTTACAACCAAAAGCTGATTTAAACTCCAAACTTTTATTTGTGTGTTTTTTTTTTCTGAACTGTACGTTGTGTTCTTCTGTCTTCACGATGCCACTTGATCAGTAAGGTTCTCCAACCTCTGTTTTTTCCCCCCACGCTGAGATAAAATTACTGACAGGTGGACTCTGTTTAGTGAGTAGGTGACTTCTGAATACTGTCAGTTGGATTTTATTTGCAGGCGTCAGAGTAAAATGTGCTAGACACTTTAAGATTTTTATTTTAAAGGAATAATAACGTGTATGCTTTGTGTTGATCTAAACTGTAAAACCACAACAGGATGACTTGAAATTTGTGGTTGTAATGTGACAAAAATGAAGCAACGTTTTGCACCCAGTGGATGAAGCTCTGTGTTTTGTCACAGGCTTGCCCTGAAAATTTGCCTTTCAGCAGATCTTTTGTTTCTGTTAACAATGACAGACAGTAAGAGTATCAGAGCAGAGAACACCACCGGAGCACATGCAGTTACACTATTTTCTGTCCTAAAAAGCAATAAAAGCAACACAGTTCTCTGTTAAATCCCCACGTAGATGCTGACATACAAACTGAGCACCTGTTTCTGTGGACATTCTTGTTCTGGTGCTCCTCTTCTCAAATATCATTGCAATCGCCTTTCCTTGCAGAAGAGGCAGATACTGAAATAGAAATAGCATTTGGCTTCTTTCAAACTCTGTCAAGCAAATATGAACTTGTTTACCAATAAATAAATAAAAAAAAAATGCTCCCTTTAGTTTAAATACCTGCTTTCCATGCTTTATCTGATGCTTGAGGTCCGCTGATACCCACAGCAACTTCTTGATTTCATCGGAGCTGAAATCTTTAAGTGTGAGACAGCTGCGACCTTTCAAGCTCACTGAGCTCAAGGAAGCTGCTCCACCTCTGGAAAGGCAGCAAAAATGTATGATTTAGACTTACACAACCACGCAATTATGACAAGAGGTGGTTTTTAGTGCAAATAACCTCTAAATAAACTGGAGTTGCTTACCTAAATCCTCTTTGCGGGTTGTAATAAAAAGATTTCAAACATTTTAAAAGGCAACTGTTGACAGAGAAACGATTTAAAGGCATCGCAGTTTAAAGGAAATTAAAAAGAGCGCAAGGATCAGCGACTTTTTGGATCAGTGAGTTACGGGGTCCGCACGTTTTAATCGCCGGGGGGGGGGACTTTGCGGTTCTACGAGTGGGTGGAGCTTAAGAGAGATTTAAACTACAGCTGCTTATTGGGGCTGCTTTTAGTTTAGCTGGGAACTGATCACCGAAGGGCGATCGTAGTCGTGTCCCAACTGCAGCTAGAAAACCAGTGCTCAGTTTAGGCTTGGTGAAACCATTGAAAGGTCATAAATTGGCAGAATGACGGTTAAAAAAAAGCGTCAATAGCAAAGAAAGAATGGCTTTTCGTAACAACAGTACACAGAAGTTACGTGAAGACATTTAGCAGCAAGACACGTGTATTCAGTATGTCATTTTGATGGGTTAAACTCTATTGAGACGCTCCTGTCACCGCAACCACACCGCCCTCTAGTGGTGTAAAATTACACAACAATAACATTTCAGAAACGCCAGCCTGCGCTCCCCGTTGGACCGATGACTCCAATCGTCTTCCCGGTTAAAGGAAGAGGAGCGGACCCACATCCGAGCACATGTAGCGGTGTCTGGGTCCAACATGGCCATGACGACATCACCATCGGGCAACGGGGAGAGAGAGAGAGAAAAAAGTTTAATATCAGAGGTTTTTTAAAAATCTTTTTCAACCCTCTTTATGTTACTTTGAGTAGGTTCGTCGGTTCAGTATCCTCAAGTCCTAGTTTTGGTCCGAGGTTTCTCAAATAAAAACCTTAAAATTTTAATGCTTTGAAAACGAGCGCCACCAGCCCCACAAATACAACCGTAGCAAGTAAAAATACCTTTTTAAAATTTTCCTTTCTCTACCATTTAAGATTAAAAATGCTGTAAGCCTCTGAATTAGTTTAATTTTATTTTAAGGTTGTTTATTATTATGTTTTGCAAGCCATATAGTCGTTTATTTATCTATGCCAGATCCATGGGTCGCACGAGTCCAGCTTAGTCCAGTCTGAGCTCTCCCTGATCTACAGCAGCAGTCTGCACAGAGCTGCTGACCGGGGAGAAGGGAGGAGATGCCTGGCCGGACCGATGCATACATACCTGGTGAGAGGCACCAAGCCTAGTTAGAATAATAAACATGTAGGAGCGGACATCCTCTCCTCCTTAAAGTGTCAGTTTCTGCATTTCTACCGTGCAAACCTTGTAAACCTGTTGCTATTTCTGTCCGCTGCTGCTTAAATCTCCTGAGAGTTGACAGCAGCTTGTGCTGGGATTTGGCCGGTGTTAACTTAGACAACTGCGGTAACTTGCTGACCTGCTTAGATTTGAAGCACTGTTCTTGTCAGGGCAGCAGCAGAGAGGTGACTCACACAGACTTTTGTTTTTTTTTTTACTACCCCCACGCCCCCTCAGAAACAGGAGCCATCTTCACATTTGGGAAGAGCAGCTTTGCTGACGATGTCCCCAGTCAGTTCTGGTTGAAAAATGACCGCCTGGTGGAGATATGCTGTGGCAAAGAGCACAGTGCTGTGATTACAGGTACACACACGCACACACGCACGCACACACACACACACACACAAACATTTCAGTCAGAAGCGGATTTCTGACTAAGGGTGTGTATTTTTTTGCTGAAAAAAAAAAGTAAATAAAAGCAGACTTTTGTTATAATTCTGCAGAAAATGGGAGGTTGCTCATGTTTGGTGGTAATACTGGTGGCCAACTGGGACTGAAGATAAAACCAGATGCCAATAAACCAACCTCTGTGAAAGGTATCCATATAGACCAACTTTAGTAAGTTTTTATTACTAACATAGTGTCTTGCATGGAATATATATTTTGTGTTTTGGGGGATCTTATATAACATATAATGAGTATATAATTGTGTTTTAGGAAAAAAAAAATCTGAAAAAAGTTCAAGATGTAAGACAAGCTCAAGGCTCTGTAAATGTAGCACGTTGTCTCAGGACTAAAGCTTTGTTGCTTGGTTTAATGACATTTCAGAAAACATGAAAATGCCAATATCTGTGGACATTTCAGTCATACAGTCGTGACATCTTAAACATTCAAATGCAAACCACTTTGTCCTTGTTAGACTTGTATAACAGGCTGTTTACTTCTCAGCCTTGAAGCCTGAAAAGGTGAAGCTTGTGGCCTGTGGAAGAAATCACACACTTGTCTGCACACGTAAGATGCAAAACAAAACAATCTCAAACGTGGATTTGTCAGATTTCTGCATTAAAACCAAATATTTAGTTCCTAACATGTCTTGTTTTTGAACCGGTGCTTGTTTTGTATCTTTTTTTTAATGTTTTTTTTTCCAGTTCAACACTGTGTCTGTGGGGCTGGCAGGAACCAGAAGGGACAGCTCGGCTTGGGCCACAAGAAGAACACGAAATCCTTTCAGCTGCTCCGTCCTTTTTGTGAATCGGCAGCGGTCAAAATGCTCGCTGCTGGCAGCGGCACTTCAGCTGCCTTAACAGGTCTGATTAGTCGTAAAACAAACAAAAAAAAAATAATAAAAGGAAACCATATGTAGACTGGTGTTAAGCTTGATTGGCTCTCCTCTGTGTGTGTGTGTGCAGAGGAAGGGAGGCTGTTCATGTGGGGAGACAACTCCGTGGGTCAAATCGGCTTAGGGGACAAGGCGTTTGCAGCCGAACCTAGAGAGCTGAATGTGGGGCAGGCGGTGATGTGGGTGTCCTGTGGGCATCGCCACTCAGCGTTTGTGACAGGTACGGCGCTGCTGGACCAAACCCAGACCCGCTCTGACCCAGTTGGACCAGACTCTTATCGCTTTATCCATCAATAATTCTGTTTCAGTGCACGGCGGACTTTACACCTTTGGTGAAAGCGCAAATGGACGACTCGGGCTCCAGGTGGGGCAGCTGGCTAATCACAGAGTCCCCCAGCAAGTGCAAGGCATTATGGGAAGTGTCATTCAGGTGTGCTGTGGAGGGGAGCACACTGTGGCACTAACAGGTGTGTTGACAGGATAAACTGAAACGGCAAAATCTCTTTCCCTTTACAATTAGATAACTCATCTAGTTTTAAAAATTACAATTCTGTCTTGCCGGTTGTTTAAAATGCATGTAAACATTTCAAATTTGTGGAAAATTGGTTTAAAAAGGGACTAGTGTTACTAACAGTAATATGTTAATATGTTCCTTGCAATATATGTTTAATTTGTGTTGCAATTTTATGGAGAAATTGCATAAAACAACAGAGAAAACTGTTAAAATGTGTGTTCCTGGTACCTCTATAAATCAATCGATCGGTCGGTCAGTCAAGTTGCAATTATTTCATCATGAATAAATAAATGATCACATATACTTTATGAATACCCCTGTTTCTCTGAATCATCCTCTTCTGAATTCATAAAGCGATGGTTCGAAACACTGCTGGCAAATATCACTTAAACTTTGCTCACTATTTTTAATTCATCTCACTGAACGAAAAGTTCAATTATCGTTCTGAAACGAGAATCAGTGAACCGGTAAATCGAGTTCAAACACGCCTGATTTATACTTTCGTACAGCAGACAAGTAAATTGACCATGAATTGTGACTGGTTACGTTTCTCTTCTCTTGTGCTGTTTGTCTCCCTGAGCCAGAGGAGGACGTGTACACGTTTGGCAGGGGCCAGTACGGTCAGCTGGGCCACGGGACGTTTGAGTTCGAACTTCATTTGCCAAAACCGCTGGAGCGCTTCCACAACAGCAGCGCCAGACGCGTCGCCTGCGGAGAAAGCCACACTGCTGTGATTACAAGTAAACCGTTTCTTGCCGTTCCAAAAAGCTATTCCCGTTTCACTCTTGCAGCTCCGCATGCATATTTGATGTGCTGCGAACGGCAGGAGCGATGCGATCGGATGTTTTGAAGCAGAGTTATGTGGAGGGGTTGTGAGCAGTCAGCGTGTTATTGTAAAGTTATTGCAAAATGACAAAAAAAAAAAAAAAATCACTTAGGTGTTACCCTCACTCTCGGTACTCGTTTTGACAGGAGAAACAACATAAATGACCTGAAATGTTGACCTTGTGTTCTTTTTTTGGGGGGGGGGCGGGGGCACCTGTTTTATAGTCAAATAATGCAAATTTGCCTATCTTCTCCTCTCCAGATGCTGGACTGCTCTACACGTTTGGTGATGGCCGTTTTGGAAAACTGGGGTTGCAGCAGGAGAACTTCATCAACCAGTTCAGCCCAACGCTGTGCACCCGTTTCCTGAAGTACAGCGTGCAGTCGGTAAGTTAGGAGTCTCGCAAACTGAAAATAACAATGGAAAAACCCTTTAAAAAGTCAGAATTATTATTATAATTATTTGTTTTAGTGCCTCGAAAACATATTCTCACCTTGTGCATTTATTTTTTTTCACACTTTCTCAGGTTATAGCCACATCCCGCCCTAATTTTTTCTTTTTTTTTTTTTTGTAACTATCCAATGCAAAAATAGTAGTACATAGTTGTGAAGTGGAAAGAAAGTCATCAATGGGTTAAAAAGACTTTTACTAAATAAAATTATGCATAGTCTCTCTGTTTGTTCAACACTTTTAATTGCATACAAAAGTCGCCTGTTTGGTGAATAGAGTCCGACTGTGTGTGATTTAATCTCAGTATAAATCCATTTGTTCTGTGGGTGATATGAACATTAAACAAACAGCATCATGAGGACCAAGGAACACAGTGGGGAAAGTTTGAAGCAGAGTTAAAATATAGAAATAGATATCTAAAGTTAAAATCTACAACACAGTAAAACCTTTTTAATGTGTTAGAACGGCCCAGTCAAAGTCTGAGAATCAGTGGAAAGACTTGAGATTGATTGATGTTCACAGATGCTTTGCCCTAAAAAAATGTCCATATCACAAAAGTACGTGGTTGTAAGCTGACAAAGTGTGAAAAAGTTAAAGGCTAACACAATAAATAAGACAATACATCCCAAAATGTGCAATTTCAACCCTGCAAGTGAATGCACAATAATCAGCGGAGCTACTATGTGTCTTTCATACATTTAGGTGTCCTGCGGTGGTCACCACACTCTGGTTCTGGCTGTCCCCAGACCGGCAGCACAGAGTCAGGGTGGAGAGTCACAGAAGGGTGCTGCAATTACAGACTTCTTCTGGGAGTCAGACGACCCTGAAAACGTCTTCAAAGACTCTCCGACGGACCCAGCTCCAGTCGTCCCGCTCTCAGCGCTGGCCGCTCGGGCTCGCCACAGAAAAAAAGTGAGAACCTAAAACCCACACAGTTTTCATTTTAAACAGCACAATCATGTGGGACATCCAGAAACACGTCTGTAAAAATAAAAGGCTTCTGTATCGTTCCTGCTAAAAAACCTTCAATAACATAAAAAAATAAAATAAAAAATCAACAATAGTAATGCCACAAAATCTGATTTAATTAAAACCTGGAAATATTTCTCGTTTGGTTGCAGTCCCAGTTTAGCTCCAGCAGGGAGCGGTGTGACACAGATTTTCCGACTCTGCAGTGCCGTGTGGAGGCTGCAGGGATGAGTTTCAAACCTTTAACTCTTGAGATTCTTTCTGCATTTTCAGAAGAGCTTCGTGGAGCTGTTTGGAGAGTTGCCTCAGACCCAACCTCGTCCTAATTCTGGCTTCCTCAGCACCTCCTGGCAGACATCCAGAAATATCCCAAACCTGAAGCGGCTTCCAACGGACGCTCCCACCCCCACCTCCTCCTCCCCCAAAGCGGCGCCAGCAAGCCCGCTTTTATCCCCCAGATCTCAGTCCGTATCCTCCAAGCCGCCAAGCCCACGTTCACAATCATCTCTCTCATCTCGGAGTAAAGCCTCCACTGCCGTCTCCTCCAGGTCCAAATCCAAAAGGCTGCCCTCTTCTGTATCTTCATCCACGTCTAGAGCTAATCACAACTCAGGGAGTCCTGCCTGTTCTGAAGAGGCTGTGAGGAGCGCAGCACGCAGAGCCTTAAATGATGATGATGATGATGCTTTCTCTCCCAACAAACCCTGCAGCCCTAACAGACCCCTCATCCGTGTTTCTGATAATAACCTGGACCAGAAGGGACCACAAACAGGTATTTTGAACGAATAGATTGGTCAAGCAAGTAACTAAAGTATCTGCAGTGAATAAAGTCCCTTCTTCTTGTTTCAGAGGGAGAAGCTCGAAGGAGACGGCTAATCTCCCAAGATGTGGAAGACGAGAGAAACCATGTGGATTTTTTGCCATATATGGTGAGAGGAGAGGTTTTTATTAGCTTGTGATGTTTGATGGAGGAGGTGGATGTAGCACGGAGTCATTAAAACTCACTCTGCTGAGCGTCGTTATCCACTCCTGGTTTCTTCTTTCTGCTCTAAATCATAAGCACTTCGGGGCAGGAAGCAGCAGAGTTGAACGCTCGCCGACTTTTCCAGGAAACCTGCATACCTCAGCATATATACTGTATACGTGTGTGTGGGCGCGCGTGTGTGTTTGTGTGTTCTGTAAAGCACATGGGCCGCAGCAGTTTCCCACTCAGTTTAAAACTGAAGGGAAATGTTAAATTGAATTGTGATTTCTCAGTTTTCAGCATTAATTAAGCTTTTCAGAGTGTGTTCACTCAGGAATGCGCACGCACAGCTGCGCGCGCGCACACACACACACACACACACACACACCACACACACACACACACACACACACACACACAGTGCTTCTGAAAAGCTGGCAGCAGCCTTGCCACATCTCATCAGTGTTTCCACAGCCAGCGTTGAAGCAAGCGGTGACAGAGTCTCCTGCGTTGTTGTTGTGTGCAGCAGGTTTGTCCAACATGTGGCGTCCAGTGGCCCAGTCCTGTCTCACATGGAGGGTGTGAATGTACAGCGGCGACAGACGTGTTTGCTCCTGTACATGAGCCTTAGATTTAGTGGATTATAAGCCAAATGGAGTCTGAAAGTCACAAAATGTTAAGCTATGGATAACCTCTTTGCATTTTGCTTCCAGTGACCTCGACTTTCTTGTAATCTTTTCCAGACGCCTTGACATTTGTAGTTTGCCTGGTATTTTTGGAAGGTCTGTCAAAGTTTTTCTATGAATTTGACTTCTTCTTTTATTTTTTATTTTTTTACCTGATGTTTGTCCTGTAGTCATTACTGGCAGCACTCTGAGCAGATGAATGGTAAAAGTCATGCCTTAAGAAATAGGAAATAAAATACTGGAAAAGACCTAACACAGGACCTGATATTCGCTGTTCGCACCAAATATCTTATTTTTGGTGGTAAAATGCTATTTTACATGTCAAGCTTCAGGATATTTTTTTATAGTTTTGGCTATAAAAGTGAGAATCTAAACCGAGGGGTTTTGCACTGTTGTAGTAAAAACATTGTTAGCTGGTTAAAATAAAAATGTATATTAGTTTTTAAACAGAAAATTCGCATGAATATGAATATTACGCATCACGTCATCTTATAACCCATCTAAGGAGCTTAGAGAAAATGCTGCAGTTTTTTTTTTTTTTTTTTGCACAAACGTTTCTTTGCACTTATTCTTAAAATATACCCCAGCAAATTAATGCATTTTCTAAACAATGTATCTATAATTATAATATTTTATGCATTGATTTATGGAAGGTTATATTAAAATTATTAAAATGTTTATTAAAATGTTTAACTCCGTTGTTAATAGCAACATTTATAGCTCAGTTTTGAGTTGGGAATCTCCTTTGTTTTCCTGTTTACACATTTTTACAATCTAAATTAAAAAAACAAAAATTCAATCCTGTCTTTTAGGAAACCAGAACCGGGAGAGTTCAACTTGCCAAAGAGCTCGAGGCTCACGGAGACCAGAAGAGTGGCCGAAGCTCGCCCAAAGGCCTCAAAGCAGAGCTTCTGACAGGCGCCGGAAAGGAAGAGGAGTTGTCACTGAAAAGCAGGAAGAAAAAAGCACGAGTCACATCTCAAAACCGTCAGGACATTAACAGCAGCAAAACGAAACCTCCAGAAGTAAAAGACGGTCAAAGCAAGCTCTATAAGATAAAATCGACAAACCGTGACAGGAAAAGTGCAACAACACAACAACCTGCGCCGATAACGATGACCAAAGTAAGTGAAAAAGGTGAAAAAGATCAAGTGGCGGAGCACTCTTTTAAGAAAGAACTAAAAGTGACTCCAAAAAGAAGGAACATATCGTCTTCTTCAGACAAGATCAGCTCGACTCTAAAGGTTACAGATAATAAGGAAATAACCACTGAAAACATCTCAAAGGATGATGCTGTGATCCAGAATAAAATCACTGATCTAAAATCCGCCGAAGTGAAGAAGCAGCAGGACAATAACCGACTCAAGTCCACTCCGACAAAGAAAAAGGTCGAACGCACATCGAGAAATATTCAAAACACAGCGGTGCCTTCAAAATTACAAAAACTTGAAGCTGCAGAAATTACTAAGCCTCCTCAGGCTGAGGGTTTAAGTGTGAAATCAACACCTGTGAAGGTGATTAAACCCAAACCAGACAAAAGTCAAAGCAAGCTCACAGAAAAACCTCCTGCTGAACGTAAAAGCATCAAAAAAGGTGACAAGGATGGGTTAATATACACAAAACGCACGACGGGTGAAACTGAAGGCAGAAGATCAGAAAAACAGAATTTACTCCAAGAGAAGAAGAAAAAGAAGGAAGAAGAACCTAAAGTGAAACAGAGAAAAAGAGGGAAAGAAGACGGTGCTGATGTTGGCTCGGAACGTAACGGCAAAGCCAAACCCGGGATTAAAGCCACCGAGGCTCCCAGCCAGATCTCTTCACATCACGAAGACGCTTCTGAAGTCTCGAGCAGCGCCGTTTCCTCACAAAGCCCCACGAGAACCAGGGCTCTTTCCGTCAGCAGAGCTAAATCCTTGCCGTCCTCCGGCCGTCCTGCCGCAGAAACACTTCCACCTGAAACGCAAAGGCAAGAGAACGAAGACCTGCCGGAGGGAAAACAGACGTGGGGAGAGATTTTGAGCGATGCGGCGTTTCTTCTGCCCGCTGCGGGGGTCACAGGCGCAGCTGTTGGCCTCCTGAGCGAGGCCGTGACTCGTGTGGAGGCTTTCCGGGCCGACAGCGACAGAGATGCCTCTCCGGAACCTGAAACACCGAAAGTCAAACAGAGCGCAACTATGCGCCCGTCCTTCTCTGCGACGTTGCATTCGGATTCAGAGGACAGGGACGACAGCACGCAGAAGGACGCTCAAATGAGCATCTTATCGGATTTAGGAAACGAAGCACATGAGGAGGAATTCGAGGATCCATCAGAGCAGGAACCGGCTGAGCAGACCAGGAAGGAGGAAACTTTTGAAAATAAAGAAGGAGACGAGGGAAGCTCTGAAGAGGAAGATTATTCCAGGTTGACTGAAACAAACACCGGTGATGAAGAGCACGATGAAGCGCTGGGAAGTGACGTGGAAAGCAAAAACGAGGACGAGGAAGGAGAAACCAGCGAGGCTGCAGGGGAGAATGAACCTGGAGACGACGACGACGAAAACGACGAGCGAGATAGTGAGTCAGGAGGAGAGGAGAGCGAGGGGAAAACAAGCTCCAGCGTTCAGGAGGAAGGTGAAGAAAGTAACAACAGTGACACAAAGGATGCCGAGAGTGAGGAAGAAGAGAGCGGCATGGAAACGGGTGAAGGAGTGAGTCACTCTGAGGCGAGTGAGGCAGCCGAGGAGGACGAAGGTGGAAGTGAAGAGCAAAGTGACGATGAGAGCAAAGGAGAGGAAGACTGTGAGGTGAGTGAGGATGAAGAAGATAAAAGCGGTGAAGGATCCGAGAGAGAGCATAGTGAGAGTGAAGAGGAGGAGGAGGAGGAAGAGGAGGGCGGGGAGGGAAGTGACACGGCCGTGTCTGAGGAAGAAGAAAGCGAGGAACTGAGGCAGTCTGATGAAGAGCAGGGAACTGAGAAAGAGGAGAGTGAAGGAGAGGGGGAAGAAGACAGTGAGGAAGAGGAGGAGGAAGGAGAGCTTTCTTCAAGTGATGAAGAAGCTGAACAGGAGGCTACAGAGGATGAGGAGGAAGGAGAGCTTTCTTCAAGTGATGAAGAAGCTGAACAGGAGGCTACA